TCCATGACTGAGAAGGATTCAAAACTTGCTCATTAGAGGAAGCAATAGCAGTTGGTCTACAATCTTCACAATACCAATTACCTTCAGGTACTTCATGTCCAATACTGACGCAATGAGTGTGTGCAGCAGAATCACGGAGGTCACAGAGTAGCAAAAGCGCATCATCCCCACCTAGTTGGCACTCAGGATACAACACGTTCTCGTATGGATCGAGAAACCTCCTAAGCATAATTTCGATAAAATAATTAAATTTCGATTCATTATACTTATAACGTTACACGAAAGTCTTGAGCAAATATTCAATTCCACTCGAATATCTTTTCCAGCCTGTTCCATGGACCCCCTACAAATGGTTAGCAGGCTAACCACATGGCTTCATCAGCAAGTCCAAATTCCACAAGACCTAACCTAACAAGGTCCCACTCAACAAGTTGTATGTGCTGAACATACAAGGTGAGGTCAGTCCACTAATTTTACTACACAAATATTTCACTTTCCTTCGTATACCTTGTATGCATTATAAATGAAAATTCTTAATTGAAACATCAAAATAGATAAGAATCACTATTGTAATAGACAATATTGATTAAATCTTTTTAGAGATATTAAAGAAGAAAAATATTAATTTTTTATATGATGTACATTATTTTGTAGTAAATATGCAACATGTCTGTCGAGTTTTAAATCATTAAAATATTATAATTCTATAGTAGTATCTGCACCTACAACGAATGTATATGTATACGATTATTTAATTTGATATTTTGTGATTTTTCTTCTATTTCTTTAGAGTCTCTTTTACAAGTCGAGAGACTACATTATTAAAAATAGCCAAAAGTTAAGAGTAGTGAGTCAACCAACTTCCAAAGTCCTCATCAATTTGTAAAGTCGTAAGATTATGTATAAGAGTTGACGTCGTCTTGTTTAAAGATCAAGGATTTGATGACTTGAAAATAAGGAAGCACTTGCTGACACTTGAAAAAGCAACATTCAAGGTCTCATTCCTTCACAAATTACTTGAGCCTTGATACATCTTCAACACCCTGGAGCAAGATGAATGAGCTATTACACTTTTCCATGAAATTGATGATAGACCAAGACAATCCAAGCCCGAGATCACCAAGCTTGTTGTAATAATCTACTTATGCAAAATATTTGAAGGTGAGGGGGCATCTCGAAGAGTTTCAAGAATACACTTTATTCATCGTCTTCGTCAACCTGAATGAGTACAACAAGAATGAGGACATTATTATTTTTAACTTTTTTTTTTAATCTTTATATAATCAAAGATATTTCAACTTGTTTTGAGCAATTAAAGTGAGCCAAAGTCCCTTTTGGCGTTGAGATAACTTGTGTTTCAAATTCTTAAACCGATTAATTATTTAAAGAACATCACTCATAACCCTCTGTCCCAAATGTCTTCCCCTCATACCTAACAACGACACTATCAAAAATATGAATGTTAAAAGATGCCAAATTCACGTGTAATCACTCCTAACGAGCTTAATTATCTATATTTAGGGAGGTTGGTGGTTTATCTTTTACGTTAATTTTAATATTAAGATTCAAATAAACTCCAAAAAAGATGATACTCTAGGCCGATCTCATCCATTGGAAAATTTGTGTAAAAGTTGTTAATTCTACTTTCTAATAGGGGAATTCTTTAGTTTTAGTATTATTTGATTTTCTTTTCCGCTGAAGCGGTATTATTAAAGCAAAGATAAATAAATCAATTTTCCAGTTCTTTTCCTTGTGCCTCCATTCCATCTTCAAGAAGTTAATCCCCATTCTCATCCTCATCTCTTAGTTCCTTTGCATGAGGAAGAAATCGATGTATTTTCATGGATCATCCTCGTCATGTATCAATCGAGAAAGTGCACCACATTTTGCAAATAGATATTGTATTCGACATCTGAAAACGATACAACCATTGTGAATCACGTATTCCTAGCTGTGTAATACACCTTGTTTAGAAATCATACCCAAATCTTTTAGGGTTAGTTTGGCTTCATGTTTTGTTCTTATCTAGTACCACTGATGCTATAATGCCACTTTAGACAATTTTAAGAAGAGAGATTCTACACATACCCTGCTAGGCAAGAGAGAAGTGGTGGCGGGCCCCACAATTTATTTTTTTAAAAAAATACATGTGTGACCCGTCCCCCAACTGTATGAAATCTACACCTGTACGTGCATGTTTTTTCTTTTAAGAAATATGTTCAATGAAATGTAGAATTAAGTAATTAATTTAATTATACATTTCATTTAATACCACATTAGCACCACTTAAACTAATATTTTAACACCAATAATATTAAATAGTATTACTCATTTTTATAACATTAGACATTTTACAACAAAGAGTAAGACAATGTCATAGGAACAAGAATTGGCATTAATTAATGGGATGACTTTCTCGTAACACATTGTATTTATTTAAATTTCCATATGTAGTTGAGAAGAAATATTCTTGACTTATTATCGACAAAACAACATATTTAATTGTATAAATACTAATTCCTAGGCTCGATCGATAAAATCTATCACATGTAGGATCATGATTGGTGACAATATTTATCATAATTAAATTGACACTTTGTATGGTTAGAGGCATTGATGCAATAGCTTTCCACCTAACAAGCAAAAAATGTCATTAAAAAATGTAATGGTCGGTTGTAAGTTCATTATTTTATATAATTCTTCATGTGTTTGCCCTTTAATCTTCTGACTTCGATATGATTAATTATAATGTTTAAAAAAAATAAAATGGAAAGTTGTCTTTACTTTGTCAATATTCTTTTATGATTAATTTACTTAATTAAATGCTCAATTTTTGCCAACAAATGCACGGCATGTTTTCTATTGTTAATGATGGAGTTATTTCCCCTTTTCATTGTCTTAACTCAATCATGATGTGAATTTTGACAAATTATAAAATTTAAAGGCTTAAGATCTCATGTTAAGTTTTGTTCACCTCAAAATGAACGAACTAAAAATAAAAGTTAGACTGCTCGATTGTTAGAACAACAATAGTTAATCAAATGCAAGCATTCCTAAACGCAAGTCAAATAGAGTTAGTCACATCCTTTCCATTCTTTTTTATTTTCGTCCCAACATTTTTTCAACATAAGTGTTCCCAATCTTTGATACGTGAAAAGTATTATACACACTTATCTAAAGTTTTAAACTTGTTGACGTTGATTATTTGAATGGATTTCCACTTAGAGTAGTGTACATACTAGTTTTTTAGGGGGGAAAATCCAGATTTGAGGTGAATTGATCATCAAGATGGAAATTTAGAACTTGATCGGAGCTTAAATGACGGAATTGAAGAGATATTAGAAAGTTGGGGAACTTGATTTGAAAGCTTTGAAAGTGTTAATTAGACGATTCCACCAGTTTTGGGATCAAATTCGATGTTGAGAGAGTTTCGTATAAAAAGTGGATGAATTGGGGATCAATTTGAACATCTCGAAACTAACTAAGTTTGAAGAAATAAAAGTTGATGGACCAAATTTAGTGAGTCTGAAAGATACCTGCAATTGAAAGTCGAAGGACCTGAATTGATTAAATTAAAGCTGATGGACTAAAATTACACAAAACAGTACCTTGAGGACCAAAATGCACCAAATCCAAAGTTTTGGGAATGACAGCAGCTCAAGCAAAAACCTATGTAATTTTCGTGTGGTTGCCGTAGTTGGCCGTAGCAAAGCTTGCTATTAAAATTCAAATTCGATCGCACTTTGAGTATATCATTGGCATGACTTTCGAGACAAATAAGGACTATAAAGTGCAACCGAGGTCAAGAAAAATCACCTTGTAAGAGAGAATCATAAAGATCAAAGCAAGGGTTCTTCATCAATCCCTTTTTTTACGACAAATATGGTGCAAATTCAAAATTTTGTAGAAATTCATTGTAGAGGTTGTATTCATTCATATCAAATATCTAGGTTATGAAATTCTTCTCACCTTTTGTACATATCTAATTCAATAATGTCGGGCTAAACATTTTGCAACTATGATGAATGATAAAACCTTGTGAGTTGAATTACTTTGAAGTTGCTCTTTTTGTTTAATTCTTATGTTTTCGCCTTGATTGTTCATTATTCCCTTTTCCCCTTTCAAATTATTTCGATTATTTTGGAGATGTTTGGTATAAATAAGCTCACGGTAATAAACAACATAGGATGCTATAATATATAATGATCGTTATTCTCAATGAAATTGCTATTTGATTATTTTTGCAGATTAATGCATGTCTATATGTACGAAATTTAATTATAGAAAACTAAGTTTGCAAACAAGTATATGATTGATTCACCTTGAGGAAGTCTCACCTTGAGGGAGTCAGTTGATTATAATAGGATAATTGATTTCAATATAGGCAAGAATCGACAAATTTCGGGTAATTGCCTAATTGGGAATTGAATTAGGGTTTATAACTGTTGATTTGTAGTCTTAGTACTTTTTGTGATTGAATATTACACTAAAATCTTTGTGCGCGCCCAACTGAGTTTGTTTAGCTATTAATTAATAAATATATTTTAAAACCTTCATATTAAGTGTTACTAATTAGAGTAATGTGAATTGAACACTCCCTTATTGTTATATTATTTGTTAACGATCCTGGGACAAAATCTACCAATTTATCCATTTATATTATTTTATGAATTTTTCATTTTTGTAATATAAATATTTTAATTAAGAATATTGAAAAATAATAATTTTATCCTTTTATTAATTTTTTTTATTTTATTTTATGATCAAAGATGTTGACCAATGGAGTCACGGAGAATTGGAAGAGATTTATCCAAATGTTGAAATGAACTGGTTGGGGGTCAAAGTGCAAAATAGTGGAAAGGTTGGTGACTTTTGCTACAATTTACCAAAAACAATATACCAATCAAGGGCTTTCTTGTCATTTCAGCTATTTCCCTTTGTCAATTACAGCTAAGAAATCTCTGTTTTAGACAACAAATAAAATATAAATTCAGAAAAAAGTCATAACAAATCAATCAAATGCCTTTTGCCTGAAAATCCGCTTTTATCGCTTCTCTCTCTCCTTTCTCTCTTTAGATTTTCTTCTCTTTCGCAGAAAAATCTCTGCACTTTCTCTCTCTAGGGTTTCTTCTTTTGTATTTACCGATCTACTTCAGTTTCACGCCCCTCAATGTCTTCAATGTGAGTATCCAAGTTTGTGTTTTTCGTCCTTAAATGCATTTCTATATTTTCAACTTTCCCTCCATTTTTTTGGGTTCTGGTCAATGTATTGTGATTTCATGCCCAATTTTGAGTCGCATGCAGGCTAGAATGTACCATTTTTGGTGAATTGGACAATATGTGGAGTTAATTTTTTTTTTTCGAGTTTAATGTGAATTTTAGTAGTTCAATGTAGTTAATTATTGATGATTGAAAGAATTGAGTTCGTTATTGGATCTTACATAAACACGTCTAGATTATTGATAAGATAATAATTTGGGGAATTTCTCCATTATTTATTTATTTTTTATTTATAACGACTTATGTTTGCTTCTTTTATATTTGTTTTACAAATAGCTAGCTTCAGCCTTTAGTCATAGTTAATATTAATTAGGTTTCAAAATATCTAGATCAAGTGTAGTAAGTTGTATGGAGATGAGGTACTAGGGATTTAGACTAATTAAGTGGCTTTTTGGGGGTGATTAGGGGTTGGAATTGAAGATTCTAGAAATGCTGGAACAAAGAGCACTGAAATGAGCCAGACAGAGGTATCAGAAATGAAGCAGAAGCAACCACCTGTTCCACTCGGGACTCTGATTGGTCGTGAGCTGAGGAACCTTAAGGTTGAGAAGCCCACTGTGAAGTATGGGCAGGCTGCTCTGGCTAAGAAAGGGGAGGATTATTTCCTGATCCAGCCGGATTGCCAAAGGGTTCCGGGAAATCCTTCAACCTCATTTTCACTTTTTGCGGTAAATTTAACTATGACGATTGATTCTTTGAGGTTCATACTCTTACTTAATGATGAACAATTAGATATAATTGCTGGATTTGGGTTGTTTTTGGTAGATTTTTGATGGCCATAATGGTATCACGGCTGCTATATTTGCAAAAGAGAATTTATTGAACAATGTATTGAGTGCAATTCCGCAAGGGCTTGGAAGGGAAGAGTGGCTTCAAGCTTTGCCTCGAGCATTAGTTGCAGGGTTTGTGAAAACTGATATAGAGTTTCAGCGCAAAGGTAATAAAAATTTCCATTGTTAAATAAGATTCTTTCTATAGGATATATGGCCTTTCAACTTTCTTTGCTCTTCTTCTTATTCTGGCCATTTGCTGTGACTGACAGGTGAAACTTCTGGAACAACAGTTACTTTTGTCGTGATTGATGGTTGGACTGTGACCGTTGCATCTGTTGGAGATTCTCGTTGCATATTGGACACACGAGGGGGTGTTGTTTCTCTCTTAACCGTTGACCATCGGCTGGAAGAGAATGTGGAAGAACGTGAGCGTGTAACTGCAAGTGGTGGCGAAGTAGGAAGGCTCAACATTTTTGGAGGGAATGAGGTAAGGTTAATTTATTTTATTACTACTCCATATTATCTGACCCTGGCCACTTATATAATAGAGTTTACTATATGATTAACAGCTTTTGGCTGAATCTTTGCTGGGGTTTGTAGGTTGGTCCATTACGTTGCTGGCCTGGTGGATTGTGCCTTTCAAGATCAATTGGCGACACAGATGTTGGGGAGTTCATCGTCCCAATACCTCACGTTAAGCAAGTGAAGGTTCGTTACTTATTCGTGTAAAAATCTGTTGATATATAATATTGTTTTGTTAAGAGTATAATATATTCTTTTGCCTTATCTGTGGTATTTAGCTTTCGAATGCTGGGGGAAGACTTATAATTGCCTCCGATGGTATATGGGATGCTTTATCATCTGATATGGCTGCCCAATGTTGCCGAGGTTTGCCTTCGGAAATTGCTGCCAAATTGGTGGTTAAGGTATGCATCATATACATGATCTTATTAATTCGACCAAATTTTTTGTCTGCTAGGTACTGCAATTTCAGCCCCTGTTTGTCATCCATTTTCTCCCATTCTTTCTCATTATTTTTTCTACAGTATTAATTTTCAACCACACATTCTTCATTAAAATAATATCACACGTAATTAAAAAACTTTTCCTTCTTTTTTAACTACACATTTCAACATCAATCACTATTCCATAATACATTCTTCCCAAATAATGAGTGACAAACACACCCTCAGAAGGTTTTGTTAATTCTCATTTGTTTTAATTGCAGGAGGCTCTTAGGTCACGAGGTTTGAAGGATGACACAACCTGCTTGGTTGTAGATATTATTCCTTATGACCATCTTGTCATTCCCCCAACACCTAAGAAGAAACATAATTCGTTTACTTCTCGTATATTTGGGAAACGATCACAAAATTCTACTAGAGGAACTAATAAGCTATCTGCAGTTGGAGTTGTGGAGGAATTGTTTGAAGAGGGATCTGCGATGCTTTCAGAGAGGTATGTTTACTCTCTATTATTTCAGATATTGGCCTCTCATAATTTTTGTTGGCTGAAACATATATTAAAGATTGAAAAGGTCAAGATTTTCAGAGCTGCAATCAAACATTGATAGCTGGAACTTAATGCTATTTTGTTTTACTATTTTAGTTACTTTGATTTATGCTGTTTAGATTTCCCAAAATATTATGATATATTTTAAAGAATTTGTTTGTGTTACTTGCCAGGGCAACACTTGATTTTAACTTGAACAACTCAATGAAATTCTTTTTTGTTTCTCTATCCTTTAACAATTATATCGTAAGATTTGTTGCATTTTATGTATTATATGTTACATTTGTGAAATTGAATTACTACGGTGGAGCCCCTCTCAATTTCATTGATATTTATACAATTCTAGATTTGACTCTAGCAGCAATCTGAACTTGTCTTCAGACAACGCGTTATCTGCACACTTTTCTTCTTGTGTTTGCTATATTGGGTGGACCATAACATACCATATAAGACGGTTTGATGGATGTTTTGATCTATTGAATATACGGAACATTTCTTTGAACATTCTGGCATTCTCTCCCATGTCTAGGAGTGAAAGGCAGTTAGGACTTGGTGCATCCAAGGCTCTCTCTCTCTATGTTGAAGTGCTTGCGTCAATAAACTCAAAAAAGAGGGGAAAAAACACGGAATACTGAAAGGCAGGACGTGTTAAAATTCGTCTTATTTGACCAATGAATTTGCTACAGTGCGGAATACACACAAGCAGATATAGTTTCAATGTCTTAGATTCTATCTGTGTCGGTAAAGCTCCTAGCATTCTGGTGCAGAATTAGGACAATAATCAATCCTAATTGTTTCTATTCAATTTATTCATAAGATCAGTTGATTAAGCAAGGTTTCTCATACAGATAGACCATGAGATTCATATTTTCTTCTGTGAATTTAGGCAGTCAGTAGTGGTACAATCAGGTTCAAGAGAAATAATGTTGATATTCTTAATTGTCAGCTGATTACTAGTTTTGCTGAGTAATTGTTTGTCTTTACTATCTTTTTGGTTGATGTTTGTGTCCACCTGTATCCATTGGGTAGATTGTAAGATTGATAAGAAAAGGCGTTTTGAAAAGAAGCTTCTAATGATTACTCTAAATGCTGCTAACATTTTTAACCCAACGGCATTATTTGCAGGCTGGGTAAGGATTTCCCTCTGGACACGAATTCTGGGTTCTTTAGATGTGCTATTTGCCAAGTGGATCAGCCCCCTAGCGAGGGCTTATCTGTAAACTCGGGCCCATTTACCTCACCTGCATCAAAGCCAAAGGAAGGTCCTTTCCTCTGTGCAAGCTGTCGTAGGAAGAAAGATGCAATGGAAGGGAAAATGGCAAATAGACCTGCAGTAATTGCATAATCTGGTAATAGTAGTAAATACTGATATATTTTTATGTGGCCGCATGTGCATGCTTGGTTTTCCATAGGCGTGTGTATTGGTAGATGTTTTAGAGAGCAGTTGTCCATTTTGTGCTCGGCCATTTGACTGACTGACCAAGTACAGACATGCTAATACATGAGTGCGTGATAATTTGATTTGCTAACAGCTTGAATATGTAAGTAAAGAAACGATGATACTGTGGTGCGTTATTCTTTATATTTTGATTGTTATGGCTTGCAATTATATGTACTCTCATTAAGTCTATAAGATGCTTTATCTTCTATTTTTCATATTACTTTTCATCTGCATTACCTGATCGGTCATGTTATCATATATCCTTGGTGACGGAAAGAAGGCCAATTGGTCGTGTCAATTATTTGTGTAATGGAAAAGTAGGAAAAAATGGAGATGACAAAAATACAGTTGTCGTTCCATGTGCATTTGTCCCCTTTAAAAGTGCATCTTAAGATGGTGGTGTGCGACCCTCATGAAACTCCAAACCCCACCCAGAGAAGGTGGGGGCGTGGCATGTAAGTTTAGTGGCGATTCAGATAACTTTTAAAGTTCAATGGCTATTGAGAAACATAGAAAATTCATTGTCAATTTGAAAAGAAAAAAAATATTAATAAATTTGAGAAAGTATATTTAACCCAAGTTGGATGGAAAGGAAATGGTACATTTGATTCATTTCCTTCTCTTTTTGAGTATGATGGATGAAAAGATATATTTGATTTGTAGTTGAAAATAATGAAGGGAAAAAAAAAATTTACTTTTGTTGTCGATATCTTGATGGAAAGTCCTCTATCCTCCTCATTTCCGTTTCCGCCTGGTTCCTCTCTATATAGTTTTTTCCTGTAACAGTTGCACAGCAAATCTACGGAAAAAAAGTATGAAGCACAGAATAAATGCTCGTTTCTTATAAGCAAGTCAAAATCAAAATAACATCGAGCTTAAATTGAATTGCTCAAAATATAACTCCTCGTTATCAAGAAATCATAGATGGGAGAAATGTTGAAAGTAACATGTTAAAACTGTTATATATCGATGTTTTATCTATAGCATACTATCATTTTTGATAAGATAATATTAAGGGGTACTTGGCATCTTTCACTACACGTTACAAAATCTTGATTCTAATAGATTATGTATCACCAAATCTTATCAAATAAGTTCACAACACTATTTATGCGAGAACAAACACGTTCATAGAGTAATCAGATCGGAATGAAAAATTAAAGTCACAAGAAGATGATTCGCCAAATACACGAAGTTATGAGGCAAAAGACATCGTATAAAGTTTAAACTTAGGATATAGTTGTACTGAATCTTTTTATGGACACCGACCATCTTTCAAAATATAAGGGGAAGATTAAATAACAGCAGCAATATTTAACCAAGGCAAAATAGATGAGAATTTAGCTTCCTGCTAATAAAAACTAAGGGCAAACTGGCCAGTTTTGCGTCCGGGCTGCCTACAACCATTTTTGGCCAAAAGGAGACAACAAGGTTTGAACGAGAGAGGTTTGGAAATCTTTTATCACTTCAAAACATGCTTTTATATTATGGTTGAGTGTCCAATCGAAGCCACTAAAGATCAGTTATTGCATTTTAACATTGACAAGAATTGTGTATTTTGTCAGTCACATTAGAAAACGAGGCAGCAATTATTTTTTAAATGCTCATTTACCTCTGAACATATGGATAAGGATCCAAGCTTGCATGGGGATGGGAGATCGATAACTATAATTCCCAGTGCTTTGAAGTGGATCAAGAAAGAAGTCCTGGGACATTTTGACAAAGTAAATCCAAAAAAATGCACTTGCTAGCACTACTTACCCCATTTGGATGACACAAAATTGGAAAGTTTTTGAGGAACTTAATCCACACATGGATAGCATAGTTAAACGAATGTACAATGTTATGTTTGCTTTACACCCACATGTTTTGATTCATTTTGAGTCTTTGGCTATGGGACTGTAATGCTTATCGTTCGTACATCTTTACCTTTTTGTTTACTTGGGTACGCCCGGAGTAGTTGTATTTCACTTAATTCTTGATTGTCCGGATATGGCAGTGTACTTATAAATGAGTATTGGTCAATAGATTTTACATTTATCGATAAAAAAAATATTAAGTGCAGAAATCCATATTGATACTCAAATACACCAAGCAAAAGTATGGCTCTTCAGCTACCTCTGTAGATTGTTATCCTTGTTGTGTATGCACTATTAGACCATCCTGAACGGTAAAATGACCAAGATTTCAGCTTCTTTTACCTCCTCTTCACCATCATATAATTCACCTTACCAAACGTGCGAGTATATCACCGTATTGGAGTTCCATTACAATAATCCCTCCCCTGCAAGCAACGGATATTAATTAGTATAGCGAACATTCCAAGAAGACAACGCAACTGAGGTTGGTCTGGATATAGTTACAATTAATCACATATGAGAATGGTTATAGAGGAAAACTTACTAAGCTCATCAATGGAAATCTTACTCATATTTTCTCCCGCCTTCACAAGTCGAACTCTCCCTGCAATAGTAAAGTAATAAATAACAAAGCTAATTTGAGAAGAAAATGTAGAAAAATTAGAAGCACGGTCAAGAATCAATAAATTTGTGCTAAACTGACAATTCCTTGTAATCTATGCGCTAACAATCTTTACCTAGTTCAGATATCTGTGCATAAACTTAAAAATATGCACTGCCACTTCAGAATATTATTATTTTCTTGAGAAAAAAAATTATAAGTAGCATTCAACAAGCTACTAAGTCGTTAACAGAGCATGAAGCAAAGAAAGAAAGAAATCTTCAGTATACTTCTTTTTATAGATCCTCGTATTGAACTCAGTATCCTGATCCATCAAATTGATAACTAAGGCGACACATGCTCCATAACTCAGTCTGTGATTTGAGTAACTGTTGAGGAACTCAGCCAAGCTCTCCAGGGTGACTTATATTAACATCAAGTGGCAATCTTTTCAGCCAAATAGTTGTCCTGCATTTCTAGTCAACTCAAACCACGATTAATTAGGTGGTCCAGTCGTCAATTTTGGTTAAGTGATCTTTAATTATGGTGGTGGGCAGATTATTTAACAACCACTAGAGTTAAATTCTATAGGTTCTATATTCCAAAACTAATTTTCTCCGACATTTCTTCGTGTG